GGTCACATGCACCAATCATTCAGGACGTCTCGATGCGTGCGCTAGAGAATCATAGCATGAACTTCAGGTGAGTGGATCTTTTCCTTTTTATCATACATATTATTGAGAGTTCTATCGACACTTTTAAATTGATTAGGTATATTACCTTCATATAATTATTGTGAATGCTTGAAGTACTAATATGAACTAGGAATGGCTTGATCCCTGTTTAGGGTTCGTAGGCAGTCTAACGAGACGTTAGATGCAGCCATAATATATTTGAGACAAAAGCCTTATTTGGGAAATTGAGCAATTCGAAGGAAATTGGTAAAGGCAAGTTTTAGTTTTGTAAATTAGTTAGTTAAATTAGTGTTAATTGGGTTGTCATGGATAATTATCCCTGAATAATAAGTAGTTCGGGAGTAGGGTGTTATTGATTGTACATTTCACACCGTATTGTATATAATTGAAAATGCTACGACATGGTTGAGTATTCGATTGCATCATGGTACATCCATATGTATATTACTTGCACATAATTATTGGGAATGCTTTCAAGTGCAAAGTTGAACGCAGGACACCCAGGTAAGTTCAAGTGAGTTTATGGTATTAGTTGAATCAATGGAGTTATAACATGACTACATTTATGTGTTAGGCAACTCTGATACTGTCGTACTGGTTGCCATGAGTTGTACATGTTATATTGAGATGCATAGGGAGCTCATAACCTGCACCCCCGGTGTTAGTGCTCCCGCCCAGAGTTGGGCACAGTCTTTCACGTGATGTTCACCTCCCGCACCTTATGCTCACCATGAACTCAAGGTAGGTGCACAGGCCTGTCATACTGACCACTATAGGTGGTTCCGACTCGTTGGTGACCCGCGATTATTCGCCCAATATTCACGTGATCGTAGCACTTGAGCATACTTATTTACACCCAGTCTTATCGTACAGACCACTAGAGGTGGTTCCGACTTGTGTGCAGGGATGCTTGATGAGATATGAGTACAGTCGTACAGGTCACGTTAGGTGATTCCGGCTGATGTATCATTTTATACTGATTAAGTTCATTTGGCTTACTTGATGCATTGTAGAGTCTATGGACATGGCATACCCGTGGTTTTAGCCTTTTTTTTTTTTTTATTAGCGTGGGTGGATATGTTGATATATATATATAGTACTGTTCTATAGAAAACGATAAGGGATTTACAGTGAAGGGTTATTACTGTTAGAAAGGTAATAGTTTTGGGAAGCTTGGTTTTACTACTTACTCACACTTTCTGTTTTATACCCCTTCAGTTTTTAACTGCTGAGTTTGTATCAACAAGGATATATGGCTAATCTTAGTATTGGTGGCTACATTTAAGGGTATGATTCTTACCCACACTACTGTACCTTACTTATGCTCTGACATCGCATGTGAAATGGGTTCGCTCCCACTCGTAGCGCACTTTGGTATTTAAACACTTTTAGATTCAAATTTAGTCACTTTTTATACACTACCACATTTTATGGCTTCGTCACCTTCCAGGTGTCGGCCAACACAGCTCGATTTGGGGTCCTAGTGGACATTCTGGGTCGGGGTGTGTCAACTTTCTTAATTGCCTTAAACTATGCCGAATCCTGCATAAGTTGTACTTAATGAAGGAGGAAAACTTGGGTATGGGTCTCTCTGATCGCGTTGTCTATTGGACACTTCTTACAAAAATATAAAATTCTATGTGTTTTAGTTCCGCTTGATCTCACACTAATCCTACCTAGTGTGAGAGTTGCCATACTAAATATGCCCTACCAAAGGTTTTCTCATTGGTGGAGTGATCATGAATGGCTTCCATCTAATTAATAACTTAACTACATTGAGTTTGCTTATTGTAAGAGAACCTAGGATCCCATAGGAAAGAAAAGATGAAACCGACCCACATTCTACCTTGTATTCCCAAACAGAGAGAGATTTGAGAAACCAAATTATTAGTTGCCAAGCAAATACTAGATATATGACAAACATGTTTTGCTAGTTTGATCCTCCTTTTTTTGTTTTTTCGACAGAAGAGAGTGTTTCGTTATTAACAACCACCAATTACAAGAAGTGTCAGATGGGTACATGTTCTTCAATGATCAATTTTTTGATATAGAGATAATTCGCACAAAATACAAATGATTAATTAAATCTACAACTACCACACAAACTATACCACTAAAACTAAGAGTCTCAAAACAGAATTGTCATAAAGACAATAAACGCAATATACTAGCACCGAAAGTCATCAGTGAGGCCACACAATCACCGTATGGACACAAACATGTGAAACGCAAGAAAAGTTTCAAGCACAATTCTTCCATCAACTTCCAACGCGCTTAAATCAAGTGGATAATAGTTTCCCAAAAAACAAAATCAAGTGGATAATAAATTACTAATAAAATGGAACCCATGCTTCATGTCTTCAAGTGCTGGGCCTGATTTGGCAATCTTCATGGAACCCATGCTTCTTATCTTCAAGTGCTGGGCCTGATTTGGCAATCTTCATGATTAATTATGTCACTTTTTTTTATGACTATACATTTCTTTTAATTTAAATATGGTGGACTGTGGAGCATGCCAGAAACTTTAGGGGTGTGTTTGTTTGGCTTTCCTAAGTTTCACTGGACTGGCTTGGCTTAGCTAAGAATGCTAGTTTGTGTTTTGTTCTGCACCAGGACTCACTTTAATGAGACTAAGTCCCACACGTTCGGACTAAATACTTCACTGAGATGTCTTAGTGAGAGCCCCTGAAAAGTGGCGGACTAGCTAGGACTGCTTGCCCTCATCTATTGTCTGCTTCGCACCTCCTCTGAAACAAACATGCATCTCTCAAAGATGCCCAGAAAACCAACCCACACCCACATGAATCTACATCTCAAAGATGCTAGCAGCATCTAAAATGCTTTAACCGACCAAGGACCTCAAAAATCCCAGAAAGCCAACAAATTTTCATCATCGATTACCTCATAAATTCATGCGAGTTGTCCCTAGAAGCTTCGATATCAGCATTAGGGATGGGCAACGGTTATGGCAGGAAGGTAACCGCGGTTACCCATAACCTTTTATACTCATACCCGCATAACCGTTTACCCTTAAACGGTTATACCTATACCCATAACCGTTTATAAACGGTTAACCATACTCATAACCGCATACTCATTTAATTATAACCGTTTAATACTCGTATACCCATTTACCCTTTTTAACCCGTTTATCTTTTCTTTTTTAACCATTACTCATTTTTCACCATCTACATGGTTTTTAACAACTTGAAAATTAAAAAAAAAAAAAAAAAGTCATAATTTTTTATTTTTTTTACAATTAAACACCGTTATAGGTACATTCATCATACATGTCCGTATTTTAATTTTTTAAGTCCTTATACCATTCCAATAATTGAAATAATAGTTTACGGACAATATTTTTAATTGTTACCAACGAAGGTAAAATAATAATTGCTAAGTATTCTTGGGTTACGAAAACTATTTAGAAGACAATATTCTTGAGTTATTTAACCCATAATGTAAAGTATTAACATCATATATATAATGAGCTACATTATATTATAATTAGCTATATAAACCATGCACTATAGTTAGCATTGATCTAAGTTTTGTTCGATAGAGAACATGGTTTGTGTTTGTTTGTACCATACTTGACCAATCCCGAAACTACCGAGCACCAGTCAACGTCATACCTTCAAGGACCTATTGAGGGGTTCATGCTGAGACACCCTTGCCGAAGCACAAGAGTTTCCCTTCAACCAGGAGGCCAATCACAGCACGACACATGTCAACATCAGAATAAGGCTCATAGAGTCCCACATTGGTCGCGAACAAAAGCTGGAGACTCTCCTCAACTATAAAAGAAGACCATTCTCCTACAATGAGGGGCGAATGTCATTATTGTACTTAAACTAATCGTTAGAACCCACTAATGATAATTATGCTTAAATTTACGTATTTGTGTAAACCCTTCACTATTAATGAGAACTCCTCTACTCCGTGGACGTAGCCAGACTTTGGGCAAACCACGTACATCTTGTATTTGCTTCCCTATCTCTACCTCTTTACACATCATCATCATTATGTGACCGGAGCAACCGAGCGAAGGTCACAAACTTGACACTTTTTGTTGTACCAAAGTCCTCATTGATTTTGCGCATCAACAGTGTTAATTTTACATATATAAAATAAATGGATAAACGGTTATCCGTTTATAACCACGATTAATAACTATAACCACTCATTTAAATTTCACAGGTAAACAGTTATACCCATAACCGTCTATTTATCTAAATAGTTAGCCATAACCATAACCGTGAAATTTAAACGAGCGCGTAATCGCGGTTACCCATAACTGCGGGTATTTTGTCCATCCTTAATTAGCATCCAAAATGCTCAAATTAATTGCAAAAACCCAATTCAAAACCCAGATCAACCAAGTTGCCCAAATCAACCTTTGGCGCCAACTCCGACACAAGATCCTTGGCATTTCTCTAAATTCGGCTGCAAAAATAAGAATTTTGATATGGGTTTTTCACAAAAAGAGGGTGATTTGAGCTTTTGAGAGAGAGAGATGGTGTTGGATGGAGTGCTTGTAGTTGTACCATTGAAGAAGAAGACCAGAGGATAATGGAATGCAATAAAAATGGCAAAAGTGGATTAAAATATCATAAGAAGAATGACTAGATGATGCTGGAATGAATTTAAAAAACATGACAATAGTAGATTAAAAATTGTAAAAGTGAATAAAAAATAGCAAAATATTTTAGTCTAGACTTTAGTCTGACACTACACCAAACATTTTACTTTACTAATCTTATCTTGCTTAGTCCAAGCCAAGTCAGTTCAACTTAGTCCCTGAAGCTAGTCCAGTCCAAGATAATCCGATGCAACAAACGCATCTTAAATGGACTCAACATGTGATAATTCTTATATTTTTATTGTTCTATTTCTTTTAAGCTACGCGCCTGTCCTATTAAATCCTGAATTCAAATCTCTATCAGAATATCACATTATCATAAAGGAAGGAAAATTACAACATGATGCATGTGTTTCATGTAATTAAAAGAATCAAAATCCAAAATCCAAGAGGAATCGAGGAAAATAAAAAGGAATGAAATAATTAATACATTGAGAACGAAAGAAAGAGAAAAAATGAAGGCGCCTTAATTGGTAAAACCAGAAGATAAATTAACCGAAGGCATTTACAATTAAGGCACAAAGCTTTTCACGGCCAAAAAAGGGCAAGAAGCGACGAACAGAGACCAGCAAGCGTTCTTCCATGCCGGCCTGCTTCCCCAAACCTCTTGGAGTATACTTATCTAGAAAAAACGTAAAAAAAAGCAGTCCGTCCAGCCTGTTTTCGTCGTACAAGCATGTCAAGATTATGTCTTCTATGTAATTATCTATGCAGTAATTTTTATAGAGCACTTGACTTCCTCCATATAACCAGTGACTTAAGAAACTCCATTACCTCCGAGGGATCCCGGAGAGAGTAAAATGCATTGCTGTCCTTGGGCTCGGCCGAGACTAAAATGCCGTAACCTTGGTTTCCTTCCCTCAAGACCTGTAACAGTCCCCCATCAAGTTAGCAATTTGATCGGTTTTATAGAAGACCGTCAAAACAAAACGATAACAAAATTTTCGAGTTTTACCTTGAATGCATCTTCATCTGTGCGGTCGTCGCCAATATATATTGGAAGAACATCTTCGCAATTACTTAGTCCTGATACAAAAATTCATCGTAGGGCGAGTATAAGATGGAATTCGATGAATTCTTGAAGATCACTTTAAAGCAGCAGGAGAGAGTAGAAATACTCACCAAGAGATTCGAGTAAAAACGTGACGGCCTTCCCCTTGTCCCAGTTTATTGTAGGTCGAACCTCTAAAACCTACAAATAAAGAAAATAGAATGTATTGAATTATAATTACCATAGGACAAAGATAGAAAATTAAGGTAGATCAGCTTGCATTTAGGCTTTTAAAAATACCTTTCGCCCATGAGTCAAGCGCAAACGAGGGTAGTCTTTAAGAATTTCATGGACGCATTGCAGAACCGCAGGCCAACTCTGAAGGCAACAGTGTATAATTAGTAAACGCAAAAGAAAATTTTACTGCATAACAAAAGAGAGGCTCCTCCAGCCTCTCCTAGTTTTTTATTCCCTCTGCCGGAAAAAAAAAATATCTTAAACTCAAAGTAAATCAAATTTAGTACTCGAACAAGAGACTACCTTCTCATCTACATTGCGGTAATGTACAGAGACACAGAACTTATTATCCTCAACTATAGCTCCTTCAATGTCTTTCGTACTTTCAACGAGCAATTTAAATACCTGGGCAAGCATAAAAAAATCAGAACACTATCTCATCATTCGTAACAGAAAAGATAGGAAGGGATATCTTGTTTATTATATTGATGCACACAATAACAGAGAAGAAATTTACAAACCTCTCTAATCGTCGGTAAAAATTCAGCTGCAGGCTGGAACAAATTAACCGCCTTACCCTGAATGTACAAAAAACCAAAAGATGTTAAAAGAACAGAACATACGCGCATATTTATTTTGTGCGCATGAGAGGGCGAGAGCTTGCAGCCAATTACCTTTTTGTCAGTTGACTTAAAACAGTTTCTCTGGTCATCGTTTATAGTTTGTATAACCGGGGCCATTATGTCCATCCCATGACTACCCGCATAATAGAGTTCATTTAGTTTTACAAACTCGTATACCTGATAGAATAGGACACAGAACAATCAAAATCAGCAAGCACCAGAAAAGATTGTAAAAAATGTAAACAAACAGATGATCGCCGAAGAGTATGTCATGCTCATGTTTAAGGCTCGGGCTAGCAATTACCTTGTCATGGCTTCTTCCACTGATAATTGCTGTTGGGAAATGTTTTGCTACCTTTCTTACGGATGCACGCATCTAAAAAGATTAAAACATCTTTGATAAGCAAGCAGAGCGTTTTAAGTTTTGCATAAAATATACAAGTATCAAGATGTTCTTACGGCATCAGACATAAAGGCACAGTCAGGGTTATCTACAATTGGTGAAAGAGTCCCGTCATAATCAAGAAACAATGCTATTCTCTTGCCCTTGGCATAATTAGAGATTTGCTCGAAAGATGCAAGTGCGGATGGATACCTGACCTGCAAGATTAGACAGAAAGATGTTAAGTACTGCATAAATAACTTAGATTCAAAGCCTATTGGAGGTTAAAAAAAACATGAAGGAATAATTGTTACCATCCATGTGTGATAAGATATATCAGCATCTGTTGCCCCAGACTCATTGTTAACATCCTTCGTTATCTTTCTGTGAGGAGGCGATGAAGCTTTCATGGCATCGAGCCAAGAGCTAGAGCGAACGTCATCAAGTAATGCGTTCTTTTTCCTAGGGATTGTTAGGTATAGACCTCCAGGGAAAGCTGCTCCTGGAGTTGAATATGGTAACAGGCTGGTATGGACGCCACCAAGTCTTGACTTGCTCAAGGGTGGAGGATCAGCAAGAACGGGAGAAGCATGATTTGATTTGAGGTCCATTGGATCCAGATTTGTAACCCCGTCGTACGAAATAATGTTATCACAAATAAACAAGTGTATAAATCTATTATAACTTCTTCAGATGACCCTGTAATCAATGAAAAACAACCATTTGCACGAGTTAGACAAAACAAAATTCCATTAGCCTTCTATGCTTTGGATATTACAGAATATTCCAAAGAGGAGGGTTCTGTGATCACACTTTCAGGCAATATATGCACGTGTTTCCGCTTCAAGAGAATTTCAAAAAACACAAGGACATGCCAAATTTTTTATATACACAGAACAATGATCCGTTAGCTGCGATTATGCCATTTCTTTTGAAAGTAGCGGCAACGTGTTCGGTCCAATTTCTTAGTTTCCGAAATTGAAGCACACTATGAAGTTTTGCACACAGGAGGGAATACACAGCCCATAGCTAAAAGGGAAAAACTAGAACCTCAAGGGTTGCGAAACTACTTGTGCAAATTTACACAAATGCAACACTCCTCTAACTCCGCAGAATAAGCATATGGTGGTGAACTTTGAGAGTTAAATCAGCGTACCAAACATAACTCAGAAAAGCATGCGTATGTTTAAACGCGATCAACTGTGCTAAAACGTACAATTAATCTACACGAAACGCAGAGGAATACAAAAACACTACAGATTCTCCGGCTACAAATATTGCAAGAGAAGAAATGCAAATGTTTGGACATACAGCTCACCCGAAAATATGTGACTGGTAGTTGCATACCATTAACAGCTCCTATGTCCACACACCGGGGGGACGAAAACATATTAGATGAATATATATAACCACAAAAAGGGGGCCTACACACAAACATGGAATCTTCAAAACATATGAAATGGACAGATTTGGATGCAAGAAAATGTATGACCACCTCAAAAAGAATACAAGTTGCAAAAGACTATACTTTTCGCTCTTACTTTTGAATGGAGGGGGATTTGAAGACTAAAACTCGGACAAACACTCTTAACCACTTGAGTTACACGCCACTTGCGGCATCCTTGAAAGTTCCAACGGAGACAAACCCAAGAGTAGAGTTGAAGTCTAAGGTCAAGATTTTGGCATTTTGCATAAATGACTTCAATGATTAAGACTTTTCTTTTGTTTTTAATTTTCCCCTCTTGGTTTTGCATATTACGACATGGTTTCGACATTTGACCAATCATTTGCATTGAAGCAAAGAAAATAAATTTAACAATTTGGAGTGAAAAATCAAAGGATGAGAACAAAAGAACAATATGACATCAGCTCAACCGAAAACAGCTCAACAGGAGACAATGATGACATCATCTGTTTTTGCACTTAGAAAAAAAAAATTAATTAGGAAAGAAAACAACCATAATTATATCAATTTATACTCTTAAATCTTAATTATTAACAGAACCCAAATCTCATCAGTGCCAAAGATCAAAACTTTATTAATTAATCACATGTTTAGAGCTAAAAAGTTTATATTTTTCTTAACCAGGAAACAAAAAATACACTCGGCAATTCGAATTTTCGAATAGCATTACGTGGGAAACTGAAAGAAGAAGAAGAAGAAAAAAAAAAAAAAAAGTGGCGAAACGACGACGTACCAGGTTGAAGAAATTTTGATCCGAAGCGCCAGCAGTCTTCGAAATGCAGGGGCGGATGCAGGAAACCTTCAAAACCAAATTATCGAAGGTCAGCAGCGGATAAAAAAACCGGTGAGGCGGATGGAAAAATCCGAAATGCTCTGTTTAGCAGCCAAGAAAACAGAGGAAAGCAAAAGGGGAAAACAAAAACGAAAGAAACATTCTTCGGCAGCCGCCGCTTCAATTCAAACAAACGGCACTGTTATTTTCTCGGCAAAAAGACAAAAGGGTGATATTATTTTCTCGGCGGCCAAACAGATGACAGAGAAAAGGGAGAGGCTTTAACAACGAATGTAAAATATTCACCTTAATCCGCAAGAAACTGGCTGCGCAGAAAATCGGAAATAATAGGAAAAAAAGCTATGGCGGAGAATCGCGAAGGAAGCGGCCAATTAGGTAAAATAAAAAAGGGGCAAATAAAGAAACGTATAAAATCGGCAAATGAGCGAACGAGAGAGATGAAAGAAAGCCCTGAATTTTAGAGTTTCGGAATTTATAGAGAGTTTCGGGTTGGACGAGAAACGTGCTCCCCAATCCAACCCGGCAAAACCCCTCCCCAACCTACAAACTCCACCGCAGTTTGACGCGTGTACGGGCAGCATTCTAGTCTTCTAGACTATCTGGTTATATAATAATTTGGCTGAATTGCTATTATAATTCGTGAATTACACACCATCTCAGTGAAAATTAAGAACGTATTCTACTTGAATCCAACTTTTTAAACTCAAAAATAATTTTCAAGTTTTAAGACTTAAAAATTTATTTGGTTGGACTATTTTCAAAAATTGAACTCAAAACTAACTCAAAAATATAATTCACTATTTTCCTTTCTCTCCCTTCTCCTCTCTCGCTCCAAATCTATCTCTCTTTTCTTCTTTCTCCTCTTTTTTTTTTTTTTTTTTTTACTTTTTCGTTTCTCCTCCAATCCGTTCTCTTCATTCTCTTAGTTCTTTCTCTCCTCTCTTCCTCTCTATCTCCTCTAATCCTCTTACTTCTTTTCTTTCCTCCAATCATCTCTTACTTTGTTTCCTCCTCTCTCATCTTTTTCTCTCGACCCCATCTTTTTAGATCTCTTTATCCAATTCAAGTTGTAAGATTTAAAATTTTTAAATCGCATACCAAACAAGTTTTTGAGTTTTAAAGAAAATTGTTTTCAAGAAAAATTCTTAAGAAATGTTTTGAGAAATGATAAAAAATTTCAAATAGGATACTAAACAAGCCCTAAGTTTTTAATTTTTTTTTATAAAATAATTTCTAAACACATTAAAATTGCTAATTTTATCTTACCATTAGTATATGCCCACAAACAAAGTGTGTGTGTGTGTGTGAACTTTTTTACTTTTATTTTTAAAATTGAAGGAAAAATGAAGAAAGTGAGAGAGAACGTGAGAGTGGGGAAAGAGGGAGAGAGTTTTTTTTTTTTTTTTTTTTTATTTTCTATTTTTTAAAATTAGAGATGATAAAATTAGTGAGGCTAAAAAAAATTGTTTTGTGAAATTAGAAAGACAAAAGTGTCTTTTCAACCCTTGTGATTGACAAAAGACAGAGTTCATTAATATGTAGTTTGTATTAGCCTCTTGCGGCGTGTGGCAATTGGTTTTTTTTTAATTTTACTTATTTTAGATATTATTGTTTTTTACTACAATATATTTTAAAAATTAATGAACGTAACAAATCACAATCCCACTATTTTTTGCCTTCTCCTTTGGTATACATAGATTATATTCAAAATTACTTTATCTATTTTTTTGTCAGCTTAAGTCACATGATATTATTTAGTACTACGGTCTAATGATATTCCTCTTCACTTATAAGTGAGAGGTCTTAAGTTTGATTCTTGTCAAATATGAGTTTGAACCATATAATTGCTAGTCTATTATGAGGCTTAGCCTAATCCCCCACCCCTTTACTGTAGTTAATATCACTTGTTTAAAAAAAAAAAAATCACAGGACATTTTAGTGGGTAATATCGTCATTTTATCACCTACAAGCTTTAACATTGCATGAAAGTTACGAATCTAACATTTAATTTGCATTCCAAATTTAACTCCGTACACTATTTCTTTTGAAAAAAAAAAGGACCTTAAACTTATGTAAAACTATTAATCTTTCAAAGTGTGTCACATGCAAGTCAAGTGACTTAAATTAATGAAAAATTGAATAGAGTAGGTTCGTATCTTTTCAAGGATGTAATTAACAAATTTTTATTCATTTAAAGACTGATTTTTTCGAAGAAAAAAAAAACCTAATTTGCATTTCAGTGATAATTGGGAAAAAAAAAATTTCAGTTCACCCTAATAATTTTATCATGCTTCTCCACGTAATGTCTTTGTTAGCTTACTCTATTTGAATATTGAGTCTCTGTCTTTTCTTCTTTGCACACTTTTATTTGTTTTGTCTTTTAAATTTTCCTTGAAGTTTTTAATTCAAAGGTTAAAAATGCGTGTAAGGCGAAAACAATTGGAGGTATAGAAACCAGTTTTCTAGTTTATTTATTTATTTATTTTCTTAAAAGCGATTTCTCTCGTCTACCATTGTTCATTGAGTCAATAATAAGTTCAATAATATTAAAAGTATAAAAAAATATGACAAAAGTAACATTTTTGTAATATTAATGCTTTTTCAGGTTTCGGACTAGAACTGAAGTCAGCGACCAGAAGATTGAAGAAAAGACGTGCGTCGACGATGCTGGCGGTGAGGACGGGAAGGAGAGTTGCCGTTGACGGTGGTGGGTGGTTGCAGGCCTTAGCTGGGTTGGAATCGGTCGATGGTGTTTTGTTCCATGGCTACAGAAAAATTTAATCAGAAGGCTTGAACGGACGACTCATATTCTTCTTCTTCTCTGAGTTGCAATAGAGAGGAACAGTGGGTTAGGGTTGTGAAACAGAAGGAGCAGTTGCTTGCAGCCGAAGCATGGAAGGGGGGAAGTAGGGAAAGCCAGAAACTCAGTTTAAGAGCTCGTTTTGACGTACTTTTAAAATAATTACAAATGTTTTTTAATTACGAAAATATTTGAAGGTTTTTTTTTAAGAGAAACTAATGAAAAAGGTTTAAAAATTTTGAATTTTAATAATAAAAACAAAATAAAGGATAAAATAAATAGTATCAGAATTGATTTTTTAGTGTAAAAATATGATGTTTCATTCAAATAAACAGTACTTAAGACTTTTCGTCAAAGTTCTTTTTTTTTATTTTATTATTAAAGCTTGATTTTAAAAACATTCTATTAAATCGTTTTAATCATTTTAAAAATACTTTCAAACGAACTGTACCTGCTAAACGGTTGATTGGTCTCTTTACCAGTAGCTAGGTGTCCAAAGATTAAAGGTTGATTTGACAAATATTCGATATTGAAGGCTCAGTTTGATTTAAAATCATATTTCTCAGTTAAAACGTCAAATTAATATTATAATTAAAAAGGGGGGTGTTTTAGTGGGGCCCAGAGGATCCAAGGCGGGACACGTACGGCAGGAGTTTGGCGGGGAAAAGCGCGTGACGACACTTGTGTCGAGTAGGAGCTGACATGGCCACGTTGTGGAGCGGGGCCCACCAAGTAAGTGCTGGACGTGTCGTCGCTTTCAGCACCAAGTTGGTGGTCGTCGGTGGCGGTGTTGACGATAAAACCCAAAAGAGGGTTGGTCCCACGTGGCGATGAGAGGGAGGGATCGGGACCCATGTGTCTTTGTCGCCACACGATGGAACTGCGTGGCAGCTGATGGACCCAGTGCGTGGGAAAGACGTGGGTGATGTCCGTGGCAAAAACGACACAGCCTTGACGCGCATCTCCATGTGCGTTAGAGAAGGAGAGAAAAATGTGTCCTTTTTGCGCTTTAAACGGCCGTTGGTTTTGCCTATTTCCATCGACTTAGTACCACTTGATTGGCCTGTAGTCTGTGGGCAAGAAATAATCCATACTATTCTCTCTTTAATTTCAGGTTAAATAAACGATTCAGTATTACGGTCTAGTGATATTTCTCTTAACTTGAATGTGAAAGGTCTTAGGTTCCAATCTCGTGAATGACAAATTCTATACCAAATTAAGCTGCTAATTATGTGACTTTGCCGAATTTTCCCTCCCCTTAGTATAAAAATATCAATGTACTAAAAAATTTAAGATTGAATGAAAAAGAAAATATGTCCTTGTAAATGCCATTTTATTACTAAAAGAAGTATGTATGAACAAGTCTATAAGTCACGCTATTAGCTTAGTTAAGGGTACAAACTAAAAGATTTGATGAAAGAACATTCGAGCGTCAACTATTAATCTCAACGAATGAGTAATGATATTTATCGATCGGCTTAGCGGAATGGAAAAACCATTATACGTAGTTAGCTCAAAATAGCAAGTTTTAATTTTAAAACTCTTTTAGAATGTGAACATCTAACGTAAAATTAATTGGTAAAAAAAGACAAATTATTTAAACAACTTACAACTCTCAACATATTAAAAATAGTTAGCTCATCCTTTTGAGATGTTATTTTGGTAGTTTTTATTCCATATTAATTACTAAAAAAATCGATAGAAAAATTGTACATTTGCTCAAGAAAATGGTATGGACTATGGAGTCCAAGGAAAATAAATTTATAATGTTTTAATCACATCTGAACTACAATATAGCAAAGCATCAGAAAACATTAATTACAGTCGTCTAACTACGACAGTTCTTGCAACAAGTGAACCCCAATGAAACGAGTAAAACCAATACGTTTTCAACAACCTTGTGACAATTGACAAACGCTTATGAACGACATGGTTGACACATCTAAACAATCTCTCTCTCAATCATATAGTAGTCTCATCTCCTAAAATTTCACCAATTTTCCGCACAGAAAAGAAACAAGACCTTTGATGTAGAGATCCGGAGATGATATCAAAACTGAAATATGAATCCAAGAAGAACTTGGGCACACGTGTGGGGTGATCCGGCGGGGTCCTTGTCCGAGCTGCCGACATATATGCCTCTTATTTTAACGAGTCAAAGACAGGGACAGGTGAAACCAAAAAGGGGAAAAGGAAATTACTTATTACGAGGTAGATCGCCGGAAAATGGAAAACAGTTCGTGGGAAAAAATTGAGAGAGTAGGCTTTTGGAGGGGTTTGACGGTACTGGATTAGGTAATTTTATGTTTGAATGAGGGCATGGTAGGGCCCAAGTGGCAGTTGGGGTACTTGCCTTCTCAGCCAAGCAAAGACGGAATCTTATTTTCAACGCCGTGCGGTGCGGTTGCGATGTTAAAAGTCTGACTCCAGATTATATATATATTTTCTTATCTATTTGCTGTTTTATAAGCATGCACGTTCATTTTTCTACAGCCACAAAAATTAAAATTTGTTTCATTGACGATATTTTTACTTATTATTTTGTGGTTATTCACTACACTTATTTTAAAATTTATACTTATTTAACAATAATAAATATGATAATGAGTATCATCATCACCTGAGAAGAGTGAGCAACGATATTCCCTTTCGAGGAGTCTGTTTTTAAATTTTTGTTTCTAAAATAAAACCTGAGTCGTTAGATTAAAATGTACTTTTGCTTGGTGCATGAATGTTGTTTATTTGTTACAAAGAGCTTGAATAATTTATAGTTTCTCTGTGTATCAAGGATAAAAGCTGGTATGTCTTGTCATTATATAAGTCATACAGAGAATATATTTTGGATAGTTCTATTCACACTATTTTTTACCTCTCACATATTTTTGTTAATTTTTATTTATTGATCTTCTTTATCATTCGATTCAATAACTAAAAATTAAAAGAAATATGTAAAAAATAAAAATGAATGTATGAATAATACCACCTTATATTTTTTAGCGTCACTTCACTTGCATTATTGCACATATTTTACCCACCTTGTTTTCTGGTTCACTAAAACTATCTTTTGCGATACTGCATTTTCTTATACATTTGCGCAGAAACAGAAAAGTTATGTGATTTTTATGTGAATCACACGGTAGATAATGTTGTAATCATTATTGTGAGATTGCCTAGAAAATGGTTAAAGGTTGAAAGAGTGCTAATCACAGAATCAATGAAAACGTGTTGGCATCGCCCTTGACAAAAGGGAAACCCTAATACTAAACAATAACAAAAATCAACAAATCCATTAGAAAGTCACTAATTAAAAATATATTGCGTGACTTAATAGAATTTTACAGCATTTTTTAAAAGTATATACATATTAGGTCCGACTGCATACTATAGTCTATAGCACATGCACTTTTATAACACTAAAAGGTCAGATGAAAAAGTCCCGTTGAATATCACCCTGCAGAGCCTCCAACTACCTGTAATTTTCGGTGGATTTAAAGTAAAAACGGTCATGTAACGTTATTATTTTATTTAAATTATAATACATGAATTTATTTGTTATCAATATATTTTTGTAAGTGTGATATATCAATTACGTTGTTGATTTATAATAATAACAATGTTAAATACACCACATTAGCGGTGGATTTAGGATTTAAACCGTGGGGGTCCCAATATTAAAGGTCAAAGTTTTTAAGATAGAAACACAACACAAAGCGCGCAAACAAATTTTAGTTTATTTACGAAGTCATTTCATCGAACACTTTGGTAGGCTTATTGTCGTCATCCAAAGCATGTTGTGCAAACATCAACATATATCGACATCTGTCGAAACAATCTGATGAGTGCTATAGAGAGCATTTGTTGAGTTTTGTCAACGCAACTTGCCGAGTGCTACCTAGATATGCCTTGCAAAGATCACATCAAACACTTGGTAAGCCAAAAGGTACTCATACCATACATTTAGAAAGTCCTTGGAGAACCTTCACATTATTGTTTCCCAACCTTTAGGTGGTCCTAAGTCCCAATATACATCCGACCTTGCACCACGTGACTTTGTATTCTAAAAATTTTTCCCCAACTATCACCTAACTATATGTTTGTATCTAATTTTTAATTAGTGGGCGGTTAATTATAATAATACATAGTTTTCTTTCTATACTCCCAAGTCCCAAGTAATTGCGTTTGTTTGACTTGAACCTAGTTGTTTATATACTTTAATACTTGTATATGCAGCAAGCAATTGTAGAATCTGAATCTGCTAATTATAGTTTAATTAAGGTAATTAAAATGTAATTAAACATGATCACTTCCGTCGGGCAATGAGTCAGTGACACGACTTGTGATGGGGAGCTATTTTGTTCTAATTCACAAAAAACAAAACTACTTGTCTCAAAGTCTGCTGACAATAATAAGTGCACGTACCAAAATAAAGATATTGTTTACTCTGTCAACATACATTGCAGTTCTTTTTTTTTTTTTTTTTTTTTTTTTTGCCAGATTGGTTGAATGAATAATTTTGATTTTTGAACATATATTCCTTTCAAATATGTGTGCGTGTAAATTTGACCTAAACAATATCGAAGCCTGGATTTTTGACCGACGGCAAATAGATCGAGGTCAAAACTGCGACAGTAGTATTAATTTTGGTTGCAAATTCCAGCATGGGTTGCTGGATTTTTCTGCAGGAACGAGATGCTGTGAAATGTGAATAAAATAGAGGCTAGGTTTTCAGGAATTCAAACTAAAGATATTAAAAGGTTGTGCTGTATTGCCATGAGAGAAGTTTTGCTACCGACACTACGGTTAAATTTGGAAAAAGATTTCTATAACACGGTTACACTGCTAGCGTGGCGTGTCATTTTGTAAAAGTTGTTCTTCTAAATTAGACCTCGGAAGGTTTGAGGGTTTATGAACTGAGTCTTCTTATAGTGGTCTTTGATTAGTTTTGCAATTTGATAAGCTGGGAGGTCTCCGCCTATGTTTTTTTTTTTTTTTTTTGGGTCATAGCTCGGCCTAGGTTGATAGTTGCTTAGTTGTTTCGGCTTTTGTCACCGTGTAACCGGAGAAAAATTAATGGTTGAAGATTATGAGTTTGAACTTAAACATTATTCGTCTAGAAAAAAGAACTTCAAGCATTGTTTTTTGAGCGGAGATGCATCGATAAATCTAGTGGTGGAGCTAATATAGGGTTATTTGTTGTCCATAACACAAACATGCAACTTTAAAAACTCCATGTATATTTGCATGTGTATTATATTTGACCCTATAAACAGCTAAAACAAATCAAATTATAACCTCCTTGTCCTACTTCTTCTTCTATTTTTTTGTATTATCCTTGTCTTCCTTTTCTTTCTTCTTGTGTGCAACTCTATTGTGCCACCAAACGGTCGATGAAATGCCTCAGTTGAAAAACCTTGATAGACTTCAACATTACTCCATCGTTTCCTATAATTACCGTTGACAAGCCCATATTATATAGTAATTGTTGGCATAAGCCTTCGGCATATGTTGGCAAAAATCAACCCATTATTTAAAGTTTTTTTTTTTGGTCAAAATCATGACCCATTATTTAAAAATCGTGGCTCCTCCACTGAATAAACTGGGTTTATACCTTGATCATATCATTTAGTAGAATAATAATGTTAACAATTACGGCAATTTTAGATTTGACATGAAGTTAAATAGATTTGATTTCTTTCTTCTCCCCTAAGCATCATAAATGTTAATACATTTACATGTTGTAATTAAGTAGGTTTTTCTTCAACATAAACCCTGAACCCTAGAACTTTTGCAACCTTTCTTCTATTCACTAACACAATTTCTTAGCCATGTCTGAAACTGAAAGCCCAGACATCAAGAATACCCGGGGTGGCGTGCTGCTATTTCTGTTCTTGTTGTTTGCTGCTATGTTTGCTCTTGTAATGAGCAGAAGGCATTCGGAGTCGTACAAAGTCCCTGAATTCTCCATCGGCGGCGCTTACCTTAACCAATTCAATTGCACCAAAGTCAACCATACTATCTCCTACAACCTCACCCTAAACATAACCCTCTCAAACCGTAACAAAATAATCTACTTTGAGTTGAGTGACATCCACGTCACTGCACGCTATCAAAATAATAGGTTTGGTCCTGTTACTCTGATGAATAGTTCGACGACACCGTTTCTCCAAGGCCCTAAGAACACAACGATTTTTCAGAATATAGTTGTTCAAGGGCACGGTAAGACTCTGTTGTTTGATCGGCAACCTATGAATGCTGACCAAATTTACAATATCGGCGTCGAGATTGCTTTCCGAGAAAAGGTTGGTAGAATGTGTGGCGAGGTCATCTGCAATCTAAAGCTTCCTTTGATGAGTTTTAATGGGACATCTTGGAATAGGTACAACACTACAAAGTGCTCGGAAGTTTAATTTTTGTTTCTGCCTAAAAAAGGGCCGTTGATTCGACCTTAGCACTGTTCTCTTTTTATATTGTGAAGATAAATACCATTAAACTAATAGCTAGTTTGTAAAGTGCTCGAACGTTTGCCTTGTGTTAACTACAATTTTCAACTTTAACCTATTGAAATTGGTTTTTACTTGCCTAATTCTGACTCTTGAGACAATGCGTATGAGTTTATGAGACTGTTTTCTTCATGAGATTTTGGGTCAAATTTATAGGCCTAAACTTGGGCTTAGCTCCATGCCTTGCCCAACCAACACAATGTGGAGTGCACGTATTTTATTTCTGCTACAAAATTCAAACTTCCATCTTATTTCAAACCAAAACCACCAAATTCCATTGGATTTTTTCCAAATGAGGTGTTCTACTCTACATGTTTAACTTGGTCATGCATGTCAGTGCCCCAAAGGTCAGGAGAGAAACTCACATGATCATAGTCACCATTTTTCTCTTTTATCAAAGTTAGGATGATCCTCGCCAGATCCTCCAATCACATTCATTCATCTATATCGTACGATCAGAAATTATTGTAATTTTTTTATTTAAAATTAAATATAAACAGTACCTGACAAAAACTAATCACACGATTTATGATGAACGGATGTGATTGGAGGATCCCGAGGTCCTCGCTCTTATCGGAGGGTTCAACATTTTCGAGATTCTGTCAATTCCATCAAATAGGCGGAACTTTACTTACGTGGGAACATATAGTAATCTCGTCCTTGTCGACAGTATGTATAGAAAACTATATGTTGTAAGTAATTATATTTCATTAATCATATGAAGGTACAAATAATGCACGAGTCCAACTATACAAAGAGTTCCAATTTCCCCATAAATACTTCTAATATTATCACAAATAATACTTAATTACTCACTAGAGTTATTAGATAATTAAGGAACTTGAGCTTCATGATGACTTGGACTCGAAATTTCTATGGACACTTCTTGGTATTATAAATGTTTCAACGAATATGTCTTTTCGGATAAAAACCCTAAGAATTGTACGTAGCCTATAAATCGTAAAGTAAACCCCATCTCTTTTGTTGTGACCTTTCTTCCATTCACAAACATTTTCTTAGCCTTGCCTGCAACCGAAAGCTCAGACAACGGGAATAATAGCAACGTCGGGCTGGCATTGCAAATCCCGATGCTTGCTTGGAACAGAAGGAATTCGGAATCAGAGTTGTACAAACCCTCAAATTCTCCGTCAACGGCGCTTACCTTAACCAATTCAATTACAACGAGATCAACAACCTTGCCCTCAACATTACCCTCACAAACCCTAACAAGATGACCTACTATGAGTTGAGTGACATCCAAGTCATTGCATCCTATCAAAACGAAAATTTATGAGATTGTTTTTACACACAGCCTCATGAATTAAAATAATTACGCCAAAGACACAGGCCTAACCTGGGCCTAATTCCTTGGCCACCCTACACAATTCTTTGGAGTACACGTATTTTATTTATGTACAATTCAAGTCCCACATCGTTCTTCTCCATTTGTAAGTGGAATGTCTTTAGATTTGACTCTTCTTGAATGCGAGTTCGTGTACATAATGTGCTTTTGTATATCACCTAAGGATATGTTAAAAGCTCTGCCAAACATGTTATTCAAGGCAGTTCACAAAACAAGAATTATCTAAGCACAATGCAGGAAAACAGACTTAACATTGCTAATGGAGATTATCATGCAGTTTTTAACTTAATACTCATGAGAAGAAGCAAATCCTTCAAATTCCTCAGCTAGGTTACATCTCTCTAGTAAGAGCTACAACAAGAAAACCCACTAAATGGCTATATTGTCTAATTCACAAAAAACAAAACTACTCGTCTCAAAGTATGCTGACAATAATAAAGTGCACGTACCAAAATAAATATTATTTACTCTGTCAACATTCATTGCAGTTCTTTTTCTTTTTTGCCAGATTGGTTGAATGAATAATTTTGATTTTTGAACGTATATTCCTTTCATATATGTGTGCGTGTAAATTTGACCTAAACAATATCGAAGCCTGGATTTTTGACCGACGGCAAATAGATCGAGGTCAGAACTGCGACAGTAGTATTAATTTTGGTTGCAAATTCCAGCATGGGTTGCTAGATTTTTCTGCAGGAACGAGATGCTGTGAAATGTGAATAAACCAGAGGCTAGGTTTTCAGGAATTCAAACTAAAGATATTAAAAGGTTGTGCTGTATTGCCATGAGAGAAGTTTTGCTACCGACACTACGGTTAAATTAGGAGAAAGAGTTCTATAACACGGTTACACAGCTAGCGTGTTTCATTTTGTAAAAGTTGCTCTTCTAAATTAGACCTGTTTGATGGTTTATACATGAACCGAGTCTTCTTATAGTGGTCTTTGATTAGTTTTGCCATTTAATAAGCTGGGAGGTCTCGGCCTAGGTTCTTTTTTTTTTTTGTTTTTTTTTTTTTGTGGTCAAAGCTCCGCCTAGGTTGATAGTTGCTTAGTTGTTTCGCCTTTTGTCACCATGCAACCGGAGAAAAATTAATGGTTGAAGTCTTGAAGATTATTAGTTTGAACTTAAACATTATTCGTCTAGAAAAAAGAACTTCAAGCATTATTTTTTGAGCGGAGATGCATCAATAAATTTAGTGGCGGAGCCAATATAGGGTTATTTGTTGTCCATAACACAAACATGCAACTTTAAAAACTCTATGTATATTTGCATGTGTATTATATTTGACCCTATAAACAGCTAAGGCAAATCATATTATAACCTCCTTCTCCTACTTCTTCTTCTTCTATTTTTTTGTATTATCCTTGTCTTCCTTTTCTTTCTTCATGTTTGCAACTCTATTGTGCCACCAAACTCTCGATGAAATGCCTTAATTGAAAAACCTTGAAAGACTTCAACATCACTCCATCGTTTCCTATAATTACCGTTGACAAGCCCATATCATATAGTAATTGTTGGTATAAGCCTTCGGCATATGTTGGCAAGAATCAACAAGTTCCTACCAGGTGTCCCATGTAATGGTCTAATAAAGTCTTTTTTTTTTTTTTTTTGTCAAAATCATGATCCATTATTTAAAATCTTGGCTCCTCCACTGAATAAACTGGGTTTATACCTTGATCATATCATTTAGTAGAATAATAATGTTAACAATTACGGCAATTTTAGATTTGACATGAAGTTAAATAGATTTGATTTCTTTCTTCTCCCCTAAGCATCATAAATGTTAATAAATTTACATTTTGTAATTAAGTAGGTTTTTCTTCAACATAAACCCTAGGGAATGTACGTAGCCTACAAACCCTAAACCCTAGAACTTTGCAACCTTTCTTCTATTCACTAACACAATTTCTTAGCCATGTCTGAAACTGAAAGCCCAGACATCAAGAGTACCGGGGGTGGCGTGCTGCTATTTCTGTTCTTGTTGTTTGCTGCTATGTTTGCTCTGTAATGAGCAGAAGGCATTCGGAGTCGTACAAAGTCCCTGAATTCTCCATCGGCGGCGCTTACCTTAACCAATTCAATTGCACCAAAGTCAACCATACTATCTCCTACAACCTCACCCTAAACATAACCCTCTCAAACCCTAACAAAATAATCTACTTTGAGTTGAGTGACATCCACGTCACTGCACGCTATCAAAATAACAGGTTTGGTCCTGTTACTCTGATGAATAGTTCGACGACACCGTTTCTCCAAGGCCCTAAGAATAGGGCTGGGTTCGGTTTATTTTGGTTCGGTTTTTTCTTAAAACCGAAACTGAACCGAAATTTCGGTTCGGTTCGGTTCGGTTCATTTTTTTTTTCGGTTTTTCTCGGTTCGGTTTTTTTTCGGTTCGGTTTTTTTCGATTCGGTTTCGGTTTTTTTTCGGTTTTTTTTTTTTTTTTTTTTTTCCCTCCAAAATTGAAAAAAAAATGGAAATATGAAAGATCACATTTTCAAGCACATTAGCAAGAGGAATGGTCAAACTTAGTCCATTTTCTTCAATCAACCAATGAAATTGTCTCCCGATACTCAAATCTTCAAGTTGAGCACACGAAGAAACCACCCCAATCATTGTAACTTCATCCGGCATCACTCCTTCCACCTCCATTTCCCGATAAATCCTCAACGCCTCGCATGCCAACCCACATCGGACATACCCATTAATCAAAGAATTCCAAGAAACCAAATCTCTCACACAACTTTCATCAAACACCTTCTGTGCAGCCTCCAATTCTCTGCACGAAACAAGCATATGAATCACAGCATTGTGAACATAACTTGCGAACAAATCAAGCAGATGGATCCAGATCCAAGACACGATTAAAACCCACAAATCGATCACCAAAAAAAATACTTTCACCAATAAAATCAATCAATCAAATTAACAACTTTACAATCAGATATATAGATACACAACAATATGTATAAACATATGAGAGAGATAGAGAGAGAAAGAGAGATGTAGAGAGACAGACCTGATGATGTTGATGAACGCTAGAGAGAGAAGCAGAGGACAATTGGAGGTTGCTAAAAGAGAGCTAGGGTTTCCCAAACCCCTCGTTGTACCCTCCCTTGCAGAAGCTCGACTCTTCCCTCTCTCTCTGATAACAAAATTAAAGCCACCATACATAAGCCCAAAATTAAAGTTGCAAAATTTAAAAATTAAATGTGTTTAATTCCGTTTATAGCGAGTGAATTCAGAGTCTGAAGTGGATCAAAATTGAGGAGAAGTGGGAGATATAAGGGTTTCGGAGATGAGATTGGACTTACCGGTGCAGATCGAACAAGCGGGTGTGAACGCAGTGGAGTCGAATAGAGTCGAGCAGAGCAGTGCAGTGCAGAGGAGAGCAGATCGAGAGGTAGATCAGCCAGCCGACATCAAATGCTGTGGATGGATTATGACTATCTAATGTATAAGGGCGTCTTTGCGAATAAGCAAAATAATATACAGCCTCGAGAGAGAGGAGAGAGAGGAGAGAGACTGAGGGAGTACGAAGCAGAGCAACAGCTGGCGAAGCAAGAAGAGAGGAGGAAGAGTAAGAATCCGAGGAAGACGACGAGGAGGAAGACGAAGACGACGAGGACGAGTCCGAGGAGTACTCAGACAACGATGAGGACGAGGCCACCATGTCTCAGAGAGAGAGGGAGGGAACGAGAGTCTAGAGAGAAGAGGCAGGCGGCCAGGGGAATGAAAAATAAGGAGGAGGAGGGAGGGTTAGGGTTACAACAACTTAAAAAATTAAAAATAATCTCACAAATCCTGGAGGCATGAGGGTTCGAACCCATGCCTCCATGCTTGTAAAGTTTCACTGAAACCAACTTGGCAACAGGTTCTGTTTTGTTATGATTGTATGACTAAACTATTTATAAATATTCAAAAAAATTATATATATATCGGTTCGGTTCGGTTTCCGAGCCTCAAAAACCGAAACCGAACCGGTCAGATTCGGTTCGGTTCGGTTTGACAATTTCGGTTCGGTTTTTTTTTCGGTCTCGGTCCGGTTCGGTTTTCGGTTTTTTTCGGTTTTCGGTTTTTTGAACCCACCCCTACCTAAGAATACAACGATTTTTCAGAATGTAGTTGTTCAAGGGCACAGTAAGACTCTGTTGTTTGATCGGCAACCTATGAATGCTGGCCAAATTTACAATATCGGCGTCGAGATTGCTTTCCGAGAAAAGGTTGGTAGAATGTGTGGCGAGGTCATCTGCAATCTAAAGCTTCCTTTGATGAGTTTTAATGGGACATCTTGGAATAGGTACAACACTACAAAATGCTCGGAAGTTTAATTTTTGTTTCTACCTCAAGAAAAGCCGTTGATTCCTTAGCACCGTTCTCTTTTTATATTGTGAAGATAAATACCATTAAACTAATAGCTAGTTTGTAAAGTGCTCGAACGTTTACCTCGTGTTAACTACAATTTTCAACTTTAACCTATTGAAATTGGTTTTTACTTGCCTAATTTTGACTCTTGAGACAATGCGTATGAGTTTATGAGACTGTTTTCTTCATAAGATTTTGGGTCAAATTTATAGGCCTAAACTTGGGCTTAGCTCCATGCCTTGCCCAACCAACACAATGTGGAGTGCACGTATTTTATTTCTGCTACAAAATTCAAACTTCCATCTTATTTCAAACCAAAACCACCAAATTCCATTGGATTTTTTCCAAATGAGGTGTTCTACTCTACATGTTTAACTTGGTCATGCATGTCAGTGCCCCAAAGGTCAGGAGAGAAACTCACATGATCATAGTCACCATTTTTCTCTTTTATCAAAGTTAGGATGATCCTCGCCAGATCCTCGACTCACATCCATTCATCGTATATCGTACGATTAGAAATTATTGTAATTTTTTTTTTAAATTAAATATAAATAGTACCTGACAAAAACTAATCACACGATTTATGATGAACGGATGTGATTGGAGGATTCCGGGATCCTCACTCTTATCAGAGGGTTCAACATTTTCGAGATTCTGTCAATTCCATCAAATAGGCGGAACTTTACTTACGTGGCAGGGGAACATATAGTAATCTCGTCCTTGTCGACAGTATGTATAGAAAACTATATGTTGTAAGTAATTATATTTCATTAATCATATGAAGGTACAAATAATGCAAGAGTCCAACTATACAGAGAGTTCCAATTTCCCCATAAATACTTCTAATATTATCACGGATAATACTTAAGTACTCACTAGAGTTATTAGATAATTAAGGAACTTGAGCTCCATGATGACTTGGACTCAAAATTTCTATGGACACTTCTTGGTCTCATAAATGTTTCATCGAATATGTCTTTTCGAATAAAAACCCTAAGAATTGTACGTAGCCTATAAATCGTAAAGTGAAGCCCATCTCTTTTGTTGTGACCTTTCTTCCATTCACAAACATTTTCTTAGCCTTGCCTGCAACCGAAAGCTCAGACAGCGAGAATAACAGCAACAACGGGCTGGCATTGCCAGTCCCGATGCTTGCTTGGAACAAAAGAAATTCAGAATCAGAGTTGTACAAACCCTCGAATTCTTCGTCAACGGCGCTTACCTTAACCAATTCAATTACAACGAGATCAATTAACCAATTCAATTACAACGAGATCAACAACCTTGCCCTCAACAGTACCCTCACAAACCCTAACAAGATGACCTACTATGAGTTGAGTGACATCCAAGTCATTGCATCCTATCAAAACGAAAATTTATGAGATTGTTTTTACACACAGCCTCATGAATTAAAATAACTGGGCCAAAGACACAGGCCTAACCTGGGCCTAATTCCATGGCCACCCTACACAATTCAAGTCCCATATCGTATACACGTATTTATTTATGTACAATTCAAGTCCCATATCGTTTTTCTCCGCTTGTAAGTGAAATGTCTTTAGATTTGACTTTTTGCTTGTAAGTGGAATGTCTTTAGATTTGACTCTTCTAGAATGCGAGTTCGTGTACATAATGTGCTTTTGTGTATCACCTAAGGATACGTTAAAAGCTCTGTCAAACATGTTATTCAAGGCAGTTCACAAAACAAGAATTATCTAAGCACAATGCAGGAAAACATACTTAACATTGCTAATGGAGAATATCATGCAGATGAGAAGAAGCAAATCCTTCTAATTCCTCAGCTAGGTTACATCTCTCTAGTAAGCAAGTCCTACAACAAGAAACCCCCTAAATGGCGGTGATCGGTGGTATTACCGTACACTCACAAGCGTGACTCAAAGTTTATTAGAACTGCTCTCTTCACGTTCAAGCATTTGGACAACTTGTGCCACACCTTCAGCGATTTCCCTCTGAATGACACCATCCGGCATATCAAAGGTCCTCCGCCTCATGGAAAGTGATTTTCCAGCACCAGCAGGCTGGGGGTCAACCACCTCAAGCATCGCTTCAAGTTCATCCACCATCGATCTCTTTGCTGAGCGCACCATTACATCAGCACCCTAAATACAATGCAAATTGTCAAAACTGCATTACAGTTATTAATTTTATGACTCCTTTGACATGGTAGCAAAATAAGGGAAACCAAGGAACCTAGTGTGCCGGTCGTCAGTGAAATTAGAAATTTCTAAGCCTTCTGTGCAAATGTGCATATTTGTGCATAACATGAAGCATGGTTTGTCAACTAGTACTCTATTCCGGCAATTGGTGATGCGTTTTCATCAGAAGATCAAAGGATGTTTCATAATATTATGTTCTCACATTTGGGGAGAAAATCGATTGACATCCTTTCAGAGAACATTTTGTAGAACTCAGTTTTACGTTAGGTAATATCTTCCTTGATTATTGCTGGGCAGCATTTAGTATTAAGGAACCGACACGACATTGATACACTCCTTTTGACCAAATGAAAGTTCAATTTATGCTGGAAAGAAACAAAAATTCATAAAGAACCACCATCAATTGTTGAATGTTCTTCTCACAGAGGTGGTGGTAAAGAAGGATCAAACAATAACGTAAACGAACATGATACTGTTTCATCAATTTCAAACTTCAATCAGGAATGAAATTTATCTAATCGTTTAAAATTACGAGTTTGTACGACCAGAACATGCATCAACAATGGCAAGCAATTTTACATTCAAGTTACGAGAATCATATACGCAAATGAGTCTTGACTTTTGAGCTTCACAAATATAAATTCAAAAACACTGGTAAGGAAAGTTACCTCAATGGCATCAACAGTGAGAAGCAGGACGATGATTCTTTCAGTGAACCTCTGACGCTCTGCTGCATCATGGGCAACACAGCGGCGGTAAGAGAAGTTATTGAACAATGCTCTGAGCTCCTTCAACTTGGACTTGGCAACAGCGAGATCGCGAAGGGCCCTAAGAGCCTGTGATCTGCGGATCAGATAAGCTCTGAAAGTCATCTGTATCATCATTGCTGCATCTTGAGGAGACAACTCCTTCCTCTTGCCCTTCGCATTTCCACTGCCTCCAGCTCTCTTTGCAAAAGCCTACAAATACAAGAACTCAGTATACTATCGTGCCCTTCTCGGTCACAAAGGCGCAACCTTTCCGTTGCGCCAAAGCTCGCCCTCTTTGCATTACCATTGATAAACAAGCTAATCAATTTAATTTCAACTCAATCAACTCAAGAACTAATCCCAGGGTTTAAAATGTAATTCCACATTACGATTGGTAATCCACCAACTTAACTATGTTTAAGCGGAAAGGATGAACAGCTTAAAGTGTAATTTGAAATTACCTGTCTAAGAACGACAGCCCCATGATCAACAAGCTCTTCAATCTCCACCAGACGCGTGTCACTCTCTTCCTTCCTTCCCTTCTTGACCTTCGTCTTCTTCTTCTCCTTCTTCTCCTTCGCATCGCTACTGTCACTATCACCGCCATTCGACGCCGTGAACGAGTACTTCCGCGAGATCTCTCCCTTCCCCTCAATCTCAGCCGTCCATCTGTACTTCTTCTCGGTTTTCTCCTCGGTCTCCTTCTTCTTAAGCTTTCCTCCCTTGATCTCCGTCGTCCACTTGTACTTCCGCTCGAGCCCGTGCTTCTCCGGCCCCTTGATCTCCGCCGTCAGAGTGTACTTCCGATCCCCGCCCGATTTCACCTTCGCCAGCCGATCGAACCGCGACTCCAGCTCACTGACTCGGTCGCTCAGGCTCTGCAGGAACAACCTACCCCCGAGCCTCTCGACTCGCTGAATCATCCGGTACGAAAGAAGCGACGGCATTTTGATTGGTGTCGGACTCAACAGCTCCAGCGCGTAACCGAGCTCGCAATCCTCCTCAACATCTTCGAAAAACGAAGGGAAAGGGAAAGGTAGGGTTTTGGGAGCGGCGAAAATGGAGGTCTCTTGGAGAAGAAGCGGCGGCGGCGGGGGGCAGTAGTAAGGGTCGACGAGCTCGATCCTCCTGAGCCAGCTCATGGTTCAATTGAGTCAACTCGGCACTAAATCACTGAGTCAGATCGAACGAGTTGATGGAATCTGTGATGTGATCTGTGGACGTTGAAAGCCGCTGATTAAAAGACGAGTAAAAGAGGAAGGCGACAAATATGTGAAGAGTACGAGTGATGGGCGGAAAAGTGAAGAGGATAATGGGGAGGGTAGAAGTGGAAATTCATGTGTGCGGGGCCAGCTGGTGTGAGGAGGTTGGCGACTCGGATTGCGACGGAGGAGGATTCGCCGCGTAATGGAGTGGAGCGAATGG